GATAAGACAGTCTCTTCAATAAGTGGTGCTGGGAAAACTGGACAGCTACATGTAAAAGAATGAAATCAGAACACTTCCTAACACCATACACATAAATAAACTCAAAATGGATTAAAGACCTAAACGTAAGACTGGACACTATAAAACTCTTAGAGGAAAACATAGGAAGAACACTCTTTGACATAAATCACAGCAAGAGCATTTCTGACCCACCTCCTAGAGAAATGGAAATAAAGACAAAACTAAACAAATGGGACCTAATGAAATTTACAGGCTTTTGCATAGCAAAGGAAACCACAAATAAGACGAAAAGACAACCCTCAGAATGGGAGAAAATATTTGCAAACGAATCAACGGACAAAGGATTAATCTCCAAAATATATAAACAGCTCATGCAGCTCAATAGTAAAACAACAACCCATTCAAATAAATGTGCAGAAGACCTAAATAGACATTTCTCCAAAGAAGACATACAGATGGCCAAGAGGCACATGAAAAGCTGCTCAACATCACTAATTATCAGAGAAATGCAAATGAAAACTACAATGAGGTATCACCTCACACCAGTTAGAATGGGCATCATCAGAATATCTACAAACAACAAATGCTGGAGAGGGTGTGGAGAAAAGGAAACCCTCTTGCTCTGTTGGTGGGAATGTAAATTGATACAGCCACCATGGACAGTATGGAGGCTTCTTAAAAAACTAAAAACAGAATTACCATATGACCCAGCAATCCTAAGATTGGGCATATACCCAGAGAAAACCATAATTCAAAAAGACACATGAACCCCAATGTTCATTGCAACACTATTTACAATAGCCAGGTCATGGAAGTAACCTAAATGCCCATCGACAGACGAATGGATAAAGAAGATGTGGTACACGTATACAACAGAATATTACTCAGCCATAAAAAGGAACGATACTGGGTCATTTGTAGAGACGTGGATGGACCTACAGACTTCCATGCAGAGTTAAGTCAGAAAGAGAAAAACAAGTATCATGTATTAATGAATGTATGTGGAATCTAGAAAAGTGGTACAGATGAACTGGTTTGCAAGGCAGAAATAGAGACACGGATGTAAAGAACAAACGTATGGACACCAAGGGGGAAAGGCGGGGGTCGGGGGAGGGATGAATTGGGAGATTGGGATTCACATATATACACTGATATGTATAAAATAGATAACTAATAAGAACCTGCTGTATAAAAAAATAAAATAAAATTCAAAGAAAACAAACAAAAAATAAGGAGTAAATGAGATATATAACATTGCTTCTCAAACTTTAATGTGCATGTGGATCACCTGCAGGTGTGCTTAAATGCAGACTGATTCAGTAGGTCAGGGGCAGGGACTGAGCTCCTTCCTTTCTGATAAGCTCCCAGTGATACCAGGCTGCTACCCACAGCAGGAGGGGACAGACTGCTCAGTCCAGCTGACTGTTCCCTCCCATTTATGGATGTCTTATCTCCCTTACTGATCTCACCTTCCTTGGGAGAAAAAAATTTTTTTTTCAGTATTTGTATCCTCCGAAGTTCTAACCTAATCAGAATGCCTTCCATATGGTAGGCATTAAACACATGCCAACTGAATGAATGACATCCAGCTTTTAACAGTCATTACTTCTTCTATGGCTATAGACAGAATTGTTTCTTCTTTGAATTAGCTTATTTTAAATAGAAACGTATTTTTGAAAACTGAGAAATCAAAACAGCTTTCAATCTACTTTTTTCAAATGAAGAAAAAAAATTGTATTTGCCTCATAATACAGCTTTTTTTCCTCAGGCTGACCTAATCATCTTTTTTAAAAATCCACAATTAACTTGTTAAAATTATCTTCTAATGATTCTTCCTTTTTTTGTAAATAATAATTTAATAAATCAAAGTAAGTCATCTGGTTTTCTGGGGAAGTTTTAAAACTAATACCAAAAAAAAGTAATCATTTTCTTAGGATGTACCTTATACTTTTAAAGCAGCACGATAAAATTACAAGGACATCTTAGGAAAGGTAACATGTAAAAAATAAGTCTGACTTTTAGATTAACGGCACCATAAAAAAAATCAAATATTATTATTGCTATCAGTAGGTAGCTCTTTCGCAGTTTCTCTGCTGATTTTCTGTGATCACCGTGACAAGTGACTATCTAGGGCTGGCTTCTACACTTGTAAATACTGTTAACCTGATTACATCTTTGTTCCATGCTGAGAAAAATGGTATGTTGATGTTTCAAGCACTCAAGAAAAGAACAAAGGTGGAGTTATTATTTTCATTTCTAAGATGTTTACCTCTAGTTTCATGGCCTTTTTGATGTTTTTGCGATGAGTTTGCCAATTACCAAAATAAACAATTATTTTTGAGTAACTAACGTAGGATAGTAACCAAGGATCAAGTTTTTAAGCAAACCGCCGAATTAAAACAACGTAACGGTCTGGCAAGTAAACATGGATAACCGGGTTTTCGCTTTCCCACACATGAAGCACATCAACCCCCCCGATATGGCGACCCGGAGCCCCGAGGCCCAGTCCCGCCTCTGACGCCGCAACCGCGCGCGCTGGTCCGGCTGGTACCGCAGCCGAGCCCAGGTCGGCGCACAGGGCTCTACGAGTTCCTTCTGGAGTTTGCTCTTTCGTCTTTATTAAAGCTGTTTTTTGTTTTTTCGTTTAAGACAATACACCAGGCGGGTAGCATAGCGCCGGCCACCGAGCAGGCACTTCGGAGCCTGGAGGCTCGGCGAGAGCGGCACTGTCCTCAAAGTAGTCCTCCTACGTCCCCATTACGGAGGCAAGATGGTGGCTGCGAACGCCTGCCCGCTGGCCCGGGCGGGGTTTCGGCGCGGCAGGGGAGGAGCCCGCCAGACTCTGGCTGCCGGATCGGTCCTCAGGGAAAACAAACAAAAAATAAGGAGTAAATGAGATATATAACATTGCTTCTCAAACTTTAATGTGCATGTGGATCACCTGCAGGTGTGCTTAAATGCAGACTGATTCAGTAGGTCAGGGGCAGGGACTGAGCTCCTTCCTTTCTGATAAGCTCCCAGTGATACCAGGCTGCTACCCACAGCAGGAGGGGACAGACTGCTCAGTCCAGCTGACTGTTCCCTCCCATTTATGGATGTCTTATCTCCCTTACTGATCTCACCTTCCTTGGGAGAAAAAAATTTTTTTTTCAGTATTTGTATCCTCCGAAGTTCTAACCTAATCAGAATGCCTTCCATATGGTAGGCATTAAACACATGCCAACTGAATGAATGACATCCAGCTTTTAACAGTCATTACTTCTTCTATGGCTATAGACAGAATTGTTTCTTCTTTGAATTAGCTTATTTTAAATAGAAACGTATTTTTGAAAACTGAGAAATCAAAACAGCTTTCAATCTACTTTTTTCAAATGAAGAAAAAAAATTGTATTTGCCTCATAATACAGCTTTTTTTCCTCAGGCTGACCTAATCATCTTTTTTAAAAATCCACAATTAACTTGTTAAAATTATCTTCTAATGATTCTTCCTTTTTTTGTAAATAATAATTTAATAAATCAAAGTAAGTCATCTGGTTTTCTGGGGAAGTTTTAAAACTAATACCAAAAAAAAGTAATCATTTTCTTAGGATGTACCTTATACTTTTAAAGCAGCACGATAAAATTACAAGGACATCTTAGGAAAGGTAACATGTAAAAAATAAGTCTGACTTTTAGATTAACGGCACCATAAAAAAAATCAAATATTATTATTGCTATCAGTAGGTAGCTCTTTCGCAGTTTCTCTGCTGATTTTCTGTGATCACCGTGACAAGTGACTATCTAGGGCTGGCTTCTACACTTGTAAATACTGTTAACCTGATTACATCTTTGTTCCATGCTGAGAAAAATGGTATGTTGATGTTTCAAGCACTCAAGAAAAGAACAAAGGTGGAGTTATTATTTTCATTTCTAAGATGTTTACCTCTAGTTTCATGGCCTTTTTGATGTTTTTGCGATGAGTTTGCCAATTACCAAAATAAACAATTATTTTTGAGTAACTAACGTAGGATAGTAACCAAGGATCAAGTTTTTAAGCAAACCGCCGAATTAAAACAACGTAACGGTCTGGCAAGTAAACATGGATAACCGGGTTTTCGCTTTCCCACACATGAAGCACATCAACCCCCCCGATATGGCGACCCGGAGCCCCGAGGCCCAGTCCCGCCTCTGACGCCGCAACCGCGCGCGCTGGTCCGGCTGGTACCGCAGCCGAGCCCAGGTCGGCGCACAGGGCTCTACGAGTTCCTTCTGGAGTTTGCTCTTTCGTCTTTATTAAAGCTGTTTTTTGTTTTTTCGTTTAAGACAATACACCAGGCGGGTAGCATAGCGCCGGCCACCGAGCAGGCACTTCGGAGCCTGGAGGCTCGGCGAGAGCGGCACTGTCCTCAAAGTAGTCCTCCTACGTCCCCATTACGGAGGCAAGATGGTGGCTGCGAACGCCTGCCCGCTGGCCCGGGCGGGGTTTCGGCGCGGCAGGGGAGGAGCCCGCCAGACTCTGGCTGCCGGATCGGTCCTCAGGCAGGCCCGCCCAGGGGCCCACAGCCCGAGAAGCTGCCGGCGTGGCGCCTGCGGCAACCAGAGCCCAGTCGAGGGATTGGAGGCGGCGTCCCCCAGACCGTGAACAAGGACGCCATTATAGCCCTCCCCTGCCAGTGCCTCGGCCGCAACCCGCGCTGGAAGCGAGGCTCGGGGCTCGGAAAAAGGGACGAGGACGAGGGTCGGAACCAGGACCGGGCGGGAACCGAGAAGCGGGAGGGGCGGAATGACTGCCGGGCGGGAGCGGAGGGGCGGGGCGAGGCGAGGCGGCAGGAACAGGGGAGGGGGCCTCCCCTGCAGGGCGGGCGGCGGGACCTGGCTCGGTCAGCCTTCTCCCTGCGGGTGGGGTCCAGAGGTAGGATGACCCACCCTGCCCGGAGCTCCCCCGTGCGGCCTGGGATCGCGGCGGGCGGCTAGGGCTGCGCTCCCGCGGCGCCTCTTACCTGTGCCTTCCCTGTCTCTGTCGTCCGCCATCTTGTTGCGGCGCCGTCCCTGGGGAGAGCGCTGTCGCTAAGCTATGTCGCGGCGTCTTGGACCCCTGCAGCCCTGCGGCTAGTCGGCCCTGGAGGATAGGCGGCTCCGAATCCCGAAGGAAGAAGACCCTGGGTGTGGGTGGGGGAGGGAAAGCTTGGAGCGCGCGCCCTCCCCCTTCCCGCCATGACCCTCTGGCAGCCGGGAGACCGGAAGCCCGGACCCGCAGCCCGCGACCACTGAGCCGCGTCCGGGGCTTCAGCCTATTCCTTCAGTACCGAGGCCTGAGCCCTGGTTTTTGTGGCGTGGAGGAAGTATTTAATAATAAAGTTCCGAACCCCTCCTTTCCCTTGTTTATGATCGTTTGGGGACACAGTGCTCTCCCCCTCCCCTCCAGTTTGTAGGATGTGGCGTTGCTCGATTTTTTTTTTACTGCATATTTTAAAATGCAATTGGAGAGATGGGTGCAGAACTCAGCTCCGGGGTGACAGAACCAACGGGCAATCCCACCTCTTCTTCCCGTCCACACCCCGCGGAGAGGCCGGACCTGCCCCACCTCTGGCCCCCCTTTTTCTCCCGTCCAGTGCTCGCCGCTAGCTCCCAGAGACGGGGACTGCACGGCGGGCGAGAGCTGGAGCTGGGACGGAAAACTGGGCCGGCGCGGGAGGAAACCAGAGCCATTAATCTGTTATTATTGGAGGAGCGGAATCGCTGTAGAAAAACATGTGTAAAATCGGCGCAAACACTGCGTCGTTAAGGCTGCGATTTCTGATACAAAATAGAAGGTTCTCATAGCAACAAAAGCGTGCCCATCTTATGCTCACTGTTACGTACATGAAATTTCTTGTGAAATTTGACAAGACCTCCAGTTAAAATTACTGGGAAGGAAAGTTTTAAATCTCGCTTTTCTAAAACTTCGAAGCCGTGGCATGATAAATTTTTGTCTCATTTTAAGGAAAAGTTCACTATACTAGAATATTTTCTTTTAAAAATGATTTTTGAGTAATATGCCTAATGGTATGGTTCAAACAAATACATATTTTCAAACGAGTTTTAGATGCTATTTAAATGCATGTGTGTACTAATTTAAATTACTTGATTTTATGTAAAAATCTATTATAAACTTAACTAAATATTAAGAGGTCTTCAAAATAAAATGTATTTAATGGTTTTACTGAGTTTTTATGCTCATATTATTCTGGTTCTATAATCCCTCAGTAAACCCTAAAGAAAACTGACTAATATTCTTTATTAAAATATTTTTTCTGTAGGTGATATATGGTGCTGCGATCAGCATTCTCTCTGAAATTGACTATAAACAATTGAATCTTCACAAAATGGCTCATATTAGAAGATATATACTTACATAATATGAATACAATCGTGAACAGTAAGGTCTTAATGCCGAAAGATAGGGGAAAGTAGTCATCAGCACTCATGTATATTTAAGTTTCATAGTCATCATTGTCTAGCTATTGGTTTTTAAAAGACCCCTCTTTCCATATAGACGATGAAGGCCTTTGAAATAAACGTGGGAAACCCCAGCTTTAGTCTTCAGGCCTGCTACTATGCCTTTTCATATGCTGCTTTCAGTTCCTTTTTACGGAATGACTTTCCCTGCTCTCTCTCTGCCCTAACATTCACCCTCTCACAGACACACATATGTCCCCTCCCTGTTGTCAGTGACCTCCTTAAAGGTCATGCACTCCTTGAAGCTTTCCCTGTCAACCCGTTACTCTGAGGTACTATAGCCATACTGTAGACGCAAATCACATTGATTTTCAGTGACTTGTTTCCCCCTAACAAACAGTAAGCTCTTGAGGACAGGAAGTGCTTTATTTGTCCATATATCCGCAGTTCCTAGAACAGATTTTCAATGTTTATGTCTAAAATAATGTGCATTTTTAAAATTAGGACAGAATTTAGTATTCTCAATGACTTATTAAGAAACAAAGCTTTTCATTGTCTAGATTATTTCAAGCCACGTTTATCTCTAATATAATATCTCTAGCATATTTAAGGCAACACTAAATTTGGATGAGTAAAACAAATTTATGTTAATTAACTCCTCCCCCCCAATTAGATTTGAAGACTGGATCCTAATATGTGCACCTTTTGTATACCCACAGTACCTATCCCAATTTGGAGCACATACTATGAGCTTAATATGTACTTTTCAATTGACTAATTAGCTGATTAGACATAAAAGTCTGTAATGATTCTGGAAAACTTTCCACAAAGTGAAAAAAAATGGTTATCCAAGTGACAATTTAAGCCTACTCTGCCAATCAGTGGGGCCAGAGGGATGTGTACAGGTTATGTCTTTTTGCATGAGTGAATTTATAGTGTTAAATTTCTTCTCACAGGCATCTGTTCTGTGCCCATGAGGGACACAGAAATGTTTCTTCTGAATACAGCTGACTCACTTACCTAAGGTGTGGGTAAAGTGGAAAGGGTAAGTGGTGTGAATAACGCAAAATGACAATAAAAAATCTTCACAGCACTTTTACTGTCCTAGTATGGAGATTGTTGGCATCACCTTGGACTAGGAATAATTTTTTTTTAAACTGGATTTTCCTCAGCCATTGCCTTGTACTGACCTCATGATCCTAGGCAAGGCGTGTAATCTCTTTAAAACTTAGTTAACTTAGAAAAATGGAGATAGCAATGTCCAAGCTCCTTGCCTCAGAGTTTTCATGAGAATGAATAGATGTAACTGAAAGCTTTGAAAATTTTAGAGAACTTGTGAGGAATCCCCAATTCCATGTAGGAAGGAGTACTTAGAGGTCAAACCCCAACTTCTTTTCTGAGATTCAGCTTCGACTTGGAGAGTTTCCTTTTCCAGAGCTTCAGCTACAGGACCGGGAGGTGGTCTGACTCCAGGTCTTACACAGGTTACTACTAGAATCTGCTGCCTGCCTGATGTGATCTAACTTACATGATAGAGCTTCATCTTAAGTTTGTGGCCCCTTCCTGATTTCCACCTTGCCATTTTTAAATCTTACCAAGCATGAGCAGCCTTAAGCATATCTAGCTTCCTTGTGCTCTAGACCCAGGAAAATAAGAGGCATGGTGTTACTTCTCTGGTCTAATTCCAGTTTTCTAATGGAAGCTGCGTCCCTTCCCTGGATGACTAACTTCAAGAATGTCTAGCCTTGGGGCTTCCCTGGTGGCGCAGTGGTTGAGAGTCCACCTGCCGATGCAGGGAACGCGGGTTCGTGCCCCGGTCCGGGAAGATCCCACATGCCGTGGAGCGGCTGGGCCCGTGAGCCATGGCCGCTGAGCCTGCGCGTCTGGAGCCTGTGCTCCGCAACAGGAGAGGCCACAACAGTGAGAGGCCCGCGTACCGCAAAAAAAAAAAAAAAAAAAAATGTCCAGCCTTTCAAGGAAGACACTACTCTTACACTACCCCTACCCGTAAGGCAAGTAACCTTACCCTGTGATCTCAAAAGGAGAACCTTATTAGAATACAACAGAATAAGAGTACAGTTTCATTACAGTTACAATAATAAAAATAACTCTTTAAATACTTTGTATATATTATCTCTTTTAATCTTTATGAGGCTGATAGTATCTCCATTTTACAGGTGAAAAAGCTATATATTCACATTAATGGCCTGTTTAAGGTTTCAAAGCTGGTTGGTAAGAGCTGGCTAGGAATCTAGTTCTGATTCCAGAGCCACTCTGCTATCCTGCTTCTTTATAAATGTAAGATATCATCGTTATATTCTATTTCGTAACCTGAATATTTAGAGAAGAATGTTAAGGGCAAAAATTCTGGGTGGAATTTGTCACCTTCCTCCCCCACTTTTTTTTTTACTGCTTCAAAACATCAACCAAAGCAACTGGCGGAGACTCTTAGGAACTTTAAAGCAACCAGATAATGGCATGTATGTTGTCCTTGTCTGGACAAAGAATTAAGCTAAAGGCCTAGCAGGAGAGGAAGTGAAACCCACTCTTCTACCGGGCCCCAGTGGTCTGTTCACCTCCTTTTCTTTCCTTCCCACCTTCCTGCAAATTGAGGTTTCAGGTCTCTCAGTAATGAGGGAGAATTGTGTTAAATCCTTGGCTCTGGACAAGAGCATATTCAGTGCCAGAGTTCCTTCAGGTTTTTCAGGGAGACCCAGAGCAGGAAGCTGGAAATGCAGCACTTGTGGGCAGCTTGAAAGTAAATCTTACATGAAACCACAACTCTTAAAGCATTTGGAAAAATAACCTCCTGGCCCTACTTCTGGCAGAAGTACATGTTTCTTTCTATTTCCCTTAAGAACACACATTGACACAACAAGTTACTGTTTAATTCATTGCTTAAGCATTTCCTGTTCTAAGCAGCACTTTTCAGGGACACTCATTGCTAAGCAACTTTTGATGAGTCCCTGTTCTTTATTCGTTGAAAATCAGACCTGAAAGGGGAAGGGTGGTAGCTAACCCAGAGATTCAAAAAATGTTCATGATCTCTCGTACAACCTCTTACCCCTTAAGTGTGAAAATAGAGGAAAAGCTAGAATTATACAGGTAATTGACTTTGGAATAATTTTTTTTAGTTCCAGCTTCAAAAATAATTTGAACTTAACTTTCACTTCTTATCATGTTTACATTAGGAGATAGAACTCTATAGAAGAATTAAGCACGTAGCCTTAGGAGGTAAATGGACCCAGGATTGAACCTCAGTCCACTGTTCATTAGCTATATGACTTTGGACATGTTATCCTCTCCTCTGTAACCTCGGTTTCCACATCTGAGGTTACACGGACGTAGGGAGATGATTGACCAGGTGGGACATGGAGGCCACCTCTGCTTCTCCCTTGACCTTCTTGAGACTATGGCCACGTGACTCTCTGCTGGCTCTAGGGCCAATACTGATAATATTTGGAGCATTTACTATGTTCTAGGAATGATGTCCAGCATTTTACATCATCACAGTAACCTTATAAGAAGGACACTGATATGGTTCCCTTTTAAAGATGAAGAAAACCAGAGTTAAGACCCCAAAATTTCTCTGAGAGGAAAGGTGGCTTTACTCTG